TCCCACCCACACCCCCACTTTTGTGAAATCTTGTGTCCTCCGGTGTACAGTAGAAAAACTCAGCTTACCCAGGTAAATCCAAGACCACCCATAGCATCGGAGAGAATGTCGGCACAGATGGCAGCGTAGGACCTGGCTGAAGGGAAATAGCCATGGAACTGCGAGTGATTCCAGTGCGCTGTCTTGAGTATTGTTTGATATAGATTAGACACAAAATATATAAACCGTGCCAAAAAAATATAATAGGGCCTATAGAGATTATTAACCATTAACTTCTTAGCAGAAATGTTACAAACAATATTCTATTTTATATACAACACTTTTTGTATGACTATGAATTTGAATTAGATTTATGTGATTATCCTGCCTTTTTCTCAAGGGAGGAAACCGACTAAAACGAAGAAATTCAGATTCAATTAAAAAACAATCCTCTTTAAACTGCAACCCTTGTACGCTAAACTAATGCTCATCTCTTAAAGACAGTAAAGCCAATATACTAAAAATCAACTGTATATTTTGCCATGAGTATTTAATATTTAGCCGCGTGGCGCATGCGCAAACGATAATTTACCTGTGTGCCTATAAGCACTTACCCCAGGCATAATTACCCGCTCTATGTCACCAATAACGTCCTCCCATGACTCAGCAGTTTCTGGAGCAGTTTCCGGAAGGAGCTGGTGCATATAACCGGGCTGTACTGCAGGATATACTGGACGATTCTGCACGTTCTCTAAATAATCAGCCACCATGTCTTCTATTTCTTTCCCACGAACACGGAACTCTGCAGCATCCATTTGGCTGTCAATTGCCAATGAAAAATTAACAAAGAATAGCTTGCGTTTTGGTAACTATATCAGCAACAACTAAACTTTTTCAACTCTGTTTAGAAGGAAAGATCATGAAAGATGGAACATTGCGACATATGCGTTTTTCAGTCCAGGATACAACTACAAGGGTTTAAGAAAGAGGAGATAAAATATGAAGCAAGAGTAGTTAATTCTAATAACAGGTACGGCTTACGCGAGTGCAATGTTAAAACTGTTTTTAAAGAGATTTAACGTCGGTCACTCGTTTGGGACGGCGTTTCGACCCTTCGCACGAGGGCCTTGATTACATTTAAGAATCTATGAAGATACTCTTTTACGCGCTTACGAATAGCATCTGTTTGTGACTTCTGCAACTACTAAATACCTTGAGGAAAATTCACAATAAATGTTCTCTTAAAACCAATGATCACATCAACTAATGAATTGAACTTATTTCGTATACTGACCCACATTCTAAAATTACCTGTTCAAATCGCCAGTTTTCCAGCAAAACGCTAGAAAAGGGTACGCCTACAACCTCCTTCTCCGACAGACAATCAACTGTGAAGGCAGAGGTTAGATTATTGTAGCACAAGGGTGCGTGCCAGAAATTCATTTTGGATTTTGGTTTTGGTTTACCCTCTACCACAGGGTCACAGGTTGATTTTTTGCTAGGTATTCACAGATATGTATCTGCATGTTTAAATTCACGGTTATTCCCTGCACTGTGTCCACATAATATAATATGAGGTCCTGGTAGGTGGTAATTTTGGCTTGAAATCGTGTTATCTGGCCTCGGTTGTCCTCAGGGAATTGAATGGCAAATATAAAATTTCCTAAATAACTTTCAATTGCAATAAAAATATAATCCTAACATAAATTTAAGCATAAATGATGTGGACTCTCACCACTTTCGCAGCCTAATTATACACTAAGCATACACTAAACGCATTCTTTTACTGTGGAGAATCATATTGATGCATTTTGATACAACCAAAATGGCTTTAACAGTCAGAGAAATGATTTCCACTAAAACTGGCTCATGATATTGAATTACATATATTTATGAGCTCATTACAAATTCTAGATGTTTTGCTGATTTTTTGCTGAACTCTGGTTGATTTTCCCCACAACAAGGAATAACAAAGCTGATATAATTTGTTGCCACAAAACCAAAAGAATAGCAAAAATCCCTAATAACCTATTTATTTGAATGGACATTTCAGTGATATACAGGGTTTAACGTTTTCCATTTTTAAGTAACAGAAATATTCAGTGTTCATCGACTAAATTAGGTTAACATAGACACACGTTTGCGATTTTGGGATAAAAATTGAAAAATATGTTTCTCAAAGTTCTCCTTTACCATAGCCCCCCCCCCTCCTCCGAACACGGTTTCAACGCCAATTTAATGACACCATTTACTACTCCAAAACCCTGCCAGCAATTTTTCTAAAAAAAATTAGTTCATACTGCATTGTTGATAAAGCAAAATACTGCCTTTGTTTCAAGAAAATCTGTATTGAGGGGCTAATAACTCCATAACAAAAAATATTTAGACCAAAATGAACGGAACTTAATTCTAGGTGCTCTATTCCAACTCATGAAAGTCTTGGTATTGTGGCAAGAGTTATTCCCAAATTGAAACGTTGCGCAACACCGCAAAATTGTTTCTAAAACCAAAAATTTATTTATTTACTTAACATCGTCTGGTTTTATGGAAGAAATCGGCATGAAAGTAATTACAAAAGAGTAAATCAAGTTAAGAATATAATTTTTATTCAACTATCAAGCTCAATGATGAACAGTTACATCCAATTCCAATAGGATTTGCAAGTAATCATTAATGAATTACTATACGTAAATGCAATGGATTAAAAAACGGTAGTTTTACTGAAAGTTTACATTTTCCATTCCCGTCTTTATCATCTCACAACGAAACGCAAATAGCCCATCAATGTACAAGATAAACAAATTTACCAAAGTAATTCATACAGAAAGAGGTACTGAAGCCAAATTTTGATGGTCAGAGGTTGGTACCAGATCCTCTCGGGCCGTGGGGAAAAACCCGTCTAAACCCTTCTTGGGGAATGCCGGGAAAGTGCCCATGCCCGGATAACAGTTTTTACAGCGCCTTACAAGCTCATGAATATCGTCCCGTTTTAGACAGCACGGCACGACTGAATTAACTTTCGTGACTACAAACTATTCTCTATATATACTATACAAGATAAACATATTTACCAAAGTAATTCATACAGAAAGATGCACTGAAGCCAACCCGAAACATTTACTAGAGACTTAACACGAAACTAGTTTAAACTTTATCCCGGGGGGCAAAGCCATAAATAAAGTCGCTCAGTCCTGAAATTTCTAACGATAACATAAACAGGCCATAAACAGATTCAAGAAATATAACTATAACTCGGGTATCTCAATGATTTAAACTAAACTAAGACATAAATCTGGATAAAATACCTAAAACTATAAAATTTCTAAATTTTCATTTTGCCCTGAAATCGCCACTACCTATATGATACAAGCTGAGAATAGAGCAAGCTTGCTTCGAATTATTTCGCATCTCACATCACTGTTTGACCGTTTATGTAAGTTTCAATTTGAATTTGGTTGATCCGGAGAAAAGTTGCATATATGATGAAGTGGATTTATTTGTCAAGTATAACACTTGAGAAAATCTGAATGTTAGCAAAGTGATCTCTATCTTCGGAGATGATGGCATCTCTCAAGTAGAGCAGACTGTGCAAAAAATAATGAAATATTTTCACATGTAAAATATTTCATTGCAGATTTTGCAAAGGCTATCAATGTAAAATCTCTTCATGTAAAAGCGTTTACATGAAGTCAGATTTTACAAAGATGTGAGGGTTTATTAGTAAGGTTAGTGTGCAGGTTAAGACCTTCTCAAATGCCTTACTGACAAACAACTCCACATCATCAAAAGCACAAATTTCAGAAAAGACTACTGCACTAAGATTGAAACAAAATACAGACGACCATAAGTGGTGGAAATGCGAATGTTTTTGTGAGCAAAAAACTATCTGAATTTAGAATGTATACAGCAACTGGATATTCAATTAAAATCATTAACATGATGATTATTATTATATCTGAAGAGGTAGACTTAACACATTTTTATACATAACCAAGCCTCATCCTATTCAATTGGAATGCATGGAATTAAGAGTGATCATTCAGACCTTCAGCCATTGTAATAAAACATCACTTACACAAATGAAAAACAAAACTTAGTACAATTACACTCGACAAAAGTTAGTGACCCATGAAACCCAAATATTTTTATAATCCAAAAGCCTTGAGTCCATTATTAGATTGCATTCCTATTATACTCAGCATATTGCTCTCCATTTCCATTGCACATTCTCTATATTTGTTAGCAGAACAAATTGTATCCTTCAAAACCAAGACTGCTAGGACGTCAATGAAAAGTGGCTTTCCAGTGAAACACCACATGTTTCTGATGTTCTCCCATACAGCCACCTTATAAACAGACCATGGCAGGACTGAATCATGGACCAAGGACTGATAGAAATAAACAAATGTGCCGCTCTTCTTGCACTTCTTTTGAAAACTGGGAACTATCAGGAGTTGCAATCACAGAGTTCTGTAAACAGAAACGAAAATGGAATAAGTTTTCAAAATTAAAAGCAGTCTGCGTCCAGCAAAATCGTTTAAACCAGTACATTTCTAGAATGTGTCAATTTAGTAACGTGGTTGATAGATTTTTCTACAAGTTTTCAAAAGAGCTTTAGATTTGATTTGATTTATTTAATTAACTGTTAAATCACAATTTTAAATGACAAGGTCTTGTTAATACAAATATTAATGCAATACAGTCCATTCCTATTCAAATTTGTATTTGGACCAGTAAATCCAGATTCAGACTTCTAGATTCAAAGGGATAATAACTCTTCGTATGATATCTTTATTTCACAATAAAAGCATTGTGAACAGCTCATAGAAATATAATATATTGTTTTACCACAAAAACAGCAATTATAGCTATTATTCTGATATCTAAGCTTGTCTTTAGTTCACGTGACTTCCATTGATGACTGTACTCTGTTATAATCTCTTAAAAGAGATTTTAACAAAAAAAAAAAACAAACTTTAAAAAAACGGACTAACTATGAATGAAAAATGGATTCATTAACCCTTGGTAAGTATGGAAACATTGTTGTTTACTCCAGGAGATTCATTTTTTGGTCAAAACTAAGAGTTAGGAAAGTAAGGCGGTCCAAACAGCCAGTAAGGTGAAAAGTTTATGGCACGGACTACAACTAAAAGTAAATCATTTTAGTATATTGCTCTCCCCAATAACACGGGTTACCTTTCAGGATTTTCCATCTCATTGAAACACCCCCGTGCAGCCACCTGGTAGACAGACCATGGCAGAACTCGCTGGACGCTTCCCCGGTGCAGCCACCTCGTAGACAGACCATGGCAGAACTCGCTGGACGCTTCCCCATTGCAGTCACCTCGTAGACGGACCATGGCAGGACTCGCTGGACGATTCCCCATTGCAGTCACCTCGTAGACAGACCATGGCAGGACTCGCTGGACGCTTCCCCCGTGCAGCCACCTCGTAGACAGACCATGGCAGGACTCGCTGGACGCTTCCCC